TTGATGTCCTTCCTGGCTCTTTGTTTTAAAAGGCATGGAAATTCATTGACTAAGTTGGGAAAAATGATTTAATTTCATTGTATGCTGCAAGTTAAACCTTCGGTACCTTGCACAGGGACTACTTTCATTTGTGATGAAAAGGGACAAGTGCTTCAAAATGGCAGTCAGTGACACTGTTCTATTCCCTCTCCTTTCACAACCACACTCAAGTTTTACAGGTGTAGATGCTGACTCTGTGATGCATGACATACACTGCAGAACTGGGCAAGATTCTCCTTCACAGGAGGTGTGTATAAAATGACAGCCTTCATATTACTTCAAGTGGCAGAGCAGCCATCCTTGGATGTGCCAGACTAATTTTTTCAGGCAAGAATTGACACTGAGTTAGACTCTTGTGGGTAGAAGGATGGATGTACGTGCTCTGTTTTCTAATAAACATGTGTTTCTCTATAGCGTATATATTTATTTTACATTACTACTATTATTATTTTAAATGTGGATCCTCTTTGTCAGCATGCTTGAGCTCTAGAAAGTTTTAGTGTTGATTCCAGGGATCTCACTGTAGCGTTCCCCTGAAAGGGTTAAAAAGTGCAGTAATTTCAGAATGTGAGCAAAACCTTAAGTCTGAAATGCCTTCATAGTGCTCAAAATAGTACAGGATAGTACCAAGTTCTCTGGAGCCCACTGAATCTCTTTCACAAGGCAGGATCTCATTTCAGAAGAACCTGTGTTCCCATGTGTCTTAACACTTTGCCTGAGATATTCAGTAATGAGTTGTTAAATAATAATGATACAGTTGAACAATCCTTCTCAGTCAAAAGGCCTGTCATGCAGCTATGATGAAGAGTGAAGTTTGGAACAGCCTGGTACTGATCTCTGTATCCCACCAGTCTGGCTGATCCCCACATTGCCTTTGGCACCCTGTGAGAGTGGGCACTGCTGAAGTCCTGTCTCTGTTGCTGAGCCATGTGCTCTGGGGAAGGAAAGGACAAGGGGCAGGAAGACATGTTGTCCACCTGAAGATACGATGTGGTCAGAGAGAGTCAGGTGTTCAGCAGTTGACACTTGATGCTGTAAATTCAGGACAATATTCACTCCATCAGAATCAAAGAACAGGGAAATGTTCCTATCCTTTCTGTCACAGGGTTATGGGCTCACATTAGGGTATAAAAGATCTCTAAGCTTCCTCCTGAGTTTTGCATACAGGAGACTGTCCAGATTTGTCAGATATGTTCTCTCTGCCAGGTCTTCTAACTTGTTTTTGCTTAAATGTTTTAACAAGTGTGGCAGAAGTATTGGCTGGGAGGTTGAACAGAGTGTGAGTAAAAAGCGAAAAGCTCATGATGAACAGTAATTAAGTATTACTGCAAAGGGTGGTTTGGGAGGAGGTAATGCAGTGGAATAGTTATGAATGAGATTTCTGCACAAGATGCAGGGAAGGTTGCCCAGAATATCTCCTTCTACCTCCAGCAGCTTCCAGTATTGCAGAACCTGTATTGATGTTATCTAGGATATGTACTTTTGCTGCTCCTACCTGGATATCCAGACATTTCACACTTGAAAGTAATTTAGAAAATTTACTTGAGCCCTAAAATAGTGCCTTAATCAGAACATATGTTCTGTACATTTTGCATACTACTTAATTTAGAAGTTATTATTTCAGATACTGTACTCTCATCTTGCTCAAGCTGTTTGGAAGCTGCATGGCTGCCACCTAACCCAAGTTAGACTATTGCACTTGCCAGAAAGGAATTCTGTACATATTTCGCCCTCACCAGACCATTTTGTAGGGAGTGGGTGGCATCCTGGATACTGTTTCTTCAAGCTGTACATTAGCAGTTTAAAAGCAAAATTTAGTTTTGCTGTTACTGCCTTCCTAGCTGCAATGAGTGTCTGATCCTCAGGGATATCTTAGGATATATAGGAAGTATATCTTAGTGACTGAACTTAATGGGACTCTGAAAGGATGTCTCCTCCCTTACAAACCAATAGAAACAACAATCCTTTGGTGCTCTGAATTAACAGTAGATAAGAATGCTTCATGTCATAGTTACTTATCTAATGGCAAGACATACTACTACTGCTATTCATAATAATGTTTTCTTCAGTATACTTAGGCATTTTGCCATCTTATGGTGTATGGAAAGTCCACGATTTTCCTTGAGCAATGTTGCTGGAATCAGGGTATATGTATCTCACTTACTGTTCTCAGCCTTTGACTCTACATTCTAGCCAAAAATATCCAGGACTGTTGTTGTGGTGGTGGTTGTTTTGGTGGTGGTGGTTGTTTTGGTGGTGGTGGTGGTGGTGGTGATTGTTTTTTTTAAGAGGTCTGACTTGTTTTGTTTCTGTTTTCAGAGGCATTTATTTGTGCAGTGTGTCTAAGGGTAGGACACAATTTGGGTCAAAAACTTTGTGCAGGTGAACAATCCAAGTTTGACACATTGCAGACAACCTGTAGACAGCATTTGCCCCTCATAAATTAATACAGTGGGAAAAAAATACTAACCTCTGTGTTTTCCATAATGGCACTGGCATTAGAGCATGAGGTAGGCAGATAGGGGATTGATCCAGAGTAAGTATAGGATAGAAAGGTAAGATAGAGCTGTGCCATTGCTAGTGTGCCTCTCCTTTTTTTCTTTATTAGAATTCCTCTATAGGGATGTCAGCACATCATAGCACCCAAAATGGGTAGAATAGTGTTATTCTTCCTGCTTTTCAGACAGTAAATGAGAAATTGAGCTGAATGCCACAGGAAGACAGACAGCTGTGCTAGGTGTGCAAGCAAAATGTTTCTACTGTTGAAAGAGGCTTTAGGGTATCAGTGGTACCACATGATGCCTGACTGGTTTACCCAGCAGTGTTATGGCATGTTTATGGGTTGCACTGTCCAGTGTGGTAGGCTTGATCTGTTGACTTTTGAGGAAATGAGGCTCAGAACCTGAGGAGATGGGGTAAAGAGGGATTAGGTGTTCCTAGAGCCCAAGTCCTTCCTTCTGGGTTCAAGTAGCTGGTGAGGCAGGTTGATTTCTGAGAGGGAGAAAGGTAGGAAGGTTGATGGAAATTTTACTTAGTCCCCAGAGCAACATTGTGGGGAGCAAGAAATTCCTCACTGACTGAAGTACCCACAAGAAAGTATCAACACATGCATAAAACTTGTGACTGAGGAGGGAACAATAAGATAGAAAAGCTGTGGTGTGCTGTGCATCTAGTGTAGAGCAGCCCCCCAGAAGGGCTTCCACTGCACAGGATGATGGACTAATGCTTGGTGTGAGGAGTTGCCTGACAGTGTAGGCAGGAACCCTTCCTGCTGATAGAAGGTGTGTTGGAGAGATGTTGGGTTTTTTCCCTCCTGCTTCAGGATGTCAGCTGTCTTGACTCACACATGAAACTTCCAGAATGAGAAAGGGAAGTCTGGACTTGATATATCCATCTGAATGAATACTTTTCATCCTATAGTGCCCTTCCCACTGGGGAGAAGCTGGTATTTTTGCCCCATCCAGAGGTACCTACTGATCTACCATTTGGGAAGCAAACAAAGAAGCAGGGAGGAACTTTTCAGTTTTGAAAAGCACCATCTTCTGTATTGAGAACAGACAGCTTTTCACTGGGAGCATACAAAATGTGTAAGTGTTCCCTTTTCAGGATCCAAACACAATGGCGATGCAAAACTGTGAGCTCTATCTGTCCTGAGGCTCTGTAGCACAGGATGAAAGATAATTTGGAGCATGGACCCTGCTTGTATTGTTCACATTGGACTTGGAGAGTATGAGTTGAATTCTGCTGCTTGCTGGTATTTCTAATCATTTGTACTTGGTGGTAGCCGCCAAGAATGAATTTCCCAGCTGCTATCACCTGCTCTTGAAAACATGTAGAGAAGTACCTATTGCAGATGAGAAGATTGGCAGGTGAGTTCCTCCTATATAGCCTTAATGAGGTGAGAAAAACCTAGATTTAACCTTGAGCCAGGGATCCTGAAACCAGATCTTCTAGAGGGCTTAGATCTCATTGAAATATTCTTAATAGCTCCTGCAGATCTGTCTTTCTGGGCAGCTCTGCTCCTAATTGATTCTTAAGAACACCTGTAGTAAGAGAACGGCAAAGGCCAGCCTCTTCAGTCAGGAGGGACTTCCCTGAGAGGCTGCAAAGGTGAAGAAGCCACAGCGTAATGTCCACAGGAGGGAACTGGCTCTGTGGCACACCCATTGTATAACTACAGGTATCCACAGACTGTGTCCTTGGTAAGTAGAAAGACACCTGACTAAGTAGTGATGGCCGAAGTTAGTTGTAAAGCAGACTTCTGTGTACATGAGAACTTTTGTCCTAGTCCTGACTTACATGCAACTTTGTATTAACAACATAGTAAGAGTAGTGTTAGAACATTTGTATACATCAATCAAGCAGACATTTATGTTACAAGCTAGGAGAATTTAACTATTTACCAACTTCCATGATATTTTTAGAATGCTTAGAACACTCTTGAATCATTTCAAAGATGATGAGTGGAAGTTACTCTGTATGGTATGAATTGCATATAGTGTTTTCATATTTGGCTCTGTTTTAATGTGCTATGGAATCTGGTTCGTTCTTGTCACCAAGTGAGCCTGTTTATGATGTATTAGATCAAAACATATTCCTGTCTCCAAATGCTAGCAGCAGCACATTTAGTTCTCTGGATTTCAGCAGCTAAAGTGGGTGTCGCAGGAAGTTTGGCACTGTTTCTCTTTTCAGGATAATAAACACAGATGATGTTGCCTTGGGTTTCATATAGGCATGGAGGCTCTTGCTTCATAAAAGCTGATACATGGACAAATTACGACTCTTAGCTTTAAAAGGTAACAGTACTAGTTGAAATAGATGGGCTACAAATACTTGCAAGTTTTCTAGCAGACCCCTGGATAGTGGTTTCTTTTAGTTTAGAGTGAGAGAACATTTTATAGTTTATTTTTCTAACAGCTACATTTAGATTATTGTGTTCTGTAACACTTACTGCTTTTTTTCGTTTCCAGGAGGAGGCCAGAACATACCTGTAGAGCTGTGGCTTCTCTTTCTCCAAGCTCTGCCAAAGGTATGTACTTTATTCTCCCTTGTATTCATCTTGGATGCAGTATGGAAACTTTCAGAAAAGTGAGTTTCAAAGCTATTGGCAGAAGACAACTACTTCCTTTATTTTTTAATGCAATATTTTAAACACAATACAAAGATGTTCCCCAGAAAGTTGCACTGAATCAAAACTAAGCTTGAGAATTCAGGTTAATGCGTACAACAGTGGCCATCCTGCTTGTACTGACTGTTGCAAGTGATCTTCAAGATTGGGCTGCCTGGTAGTGGATAAACACTTGGTTTCAGAGGCTCCAGAACATGCACAGAGCTATTTAATAGCAGGTCTACACTGACTTCAAAATCATGGTCAGTGTCTGTTAATATGATTCCCCAAGGTTATACCCTAACTCATTTATCACTCCTGGGCAAATAACATAGCACGATGGAAGCACTGTGTCCTTCCCTTGCCAAGTCTGTGAGTCTTCATAGCCACCTGTGAAAAGGTCTTGCTTTCTAATTAAGCACAGAATCAAGGTTGTACTGCTTCTCCTCAGCAGCTTGGTACCTGACACAGTTTTACGAGGAGAATTGCCTGATGTGGAGAAAGTGCTTTCAGCAGATGTGTAAAATTTTGATCTAGAAATAGGATAACATAGTAAATAAGAACCTGATGTTCAGAGGTTCAGAGCTGTCTCTGCTGTCTAGTTTGTTGTATAACTTGGAAGAACTGAAATAGCTTTTGTGGTGATAATTGTTAACATATTATTGCAGAGTAAAGAATAGTGTTTTTCTATAAATGTTACTGTAAAAGCCCGTAATACAGCATGATATTTCTATGTCTTTTCTGAACTAATGCCAAGAACTATGTAAGCTAGTGATTAATTTCTATAGAATTTTATAGGATGCTGCAAAATTCCTGAGTAAAATTCTGTGTTTTCTAATGAACCCTACATGTCAGCTTGATGGTGTCTGCCTGGTAGCAGAGAAAGCAACATATAATGAGGAACAGTGAGACTCCTTTTTTGCTTTTTTTATTTGTTTTTTCTTCCTTTTGAGCAGAGGGTGGGAAGTGGTTCCTTTGAACTATCACACCACATAAGCTTTGACTGCTGCAATTTGTATACCCTGACATAACTTCTAAATGTACCCCCACCCCCTTGTAGCTGGAGCTGATGATACACCTGGTTCTCAATGAGCCATGGGCAGGGAAGGTGCTCATTCTGTCTTTCAGTGTCCTAAGAACCATGAATATTGCCTAGTTCTGCATTCAGAAAGTCAGGTATTTCTTGACCCTGTGCGAGCTCACCAGTGTTTTCCTTCTTCCATAGACCACTCTTTTCCGTGTGGAAGAAAGAACTGAGAATGATTCACAATTAATTTATGCAGTTTTCCCAAGTAATTCTCAGACACCCATGGGTTTTCCTGGAAGAATGGTATACAATAGGCCTTTGTCTCCAAATGCAGTTATTTGTTATTTTTGAATCTAAATGCTTAGCTTGACCCCAATCTTAAAGGGCTTTTTAGTTCCTGAGGCCTAGCAGTTCATCCTTGAAACCTTTTGAAGATGTGACTCTTCTGTGAGTAACAAGGTATCATAAATCTGTTCAGTGCTAGAATGAATGCAAATTATTCTAATTATTTCTGAGTCAGAGCTTGTTACATTTGAAAGGAACTAGAGACAAAGCAAAATGGCTATGAAAGAAGTTTTATGGTTTCTACAAAAATATATTTTTGTGAGTTAGGTCTGGATTCCTCTCAGCAACAGGTCTGCAATTCGTACAAGTTGTGAGCTCTAAATTGGTCATATAAGATTAGTTGCTCAGTTACCTATTCTTTTGATTATTTGTTTGGGTACTTGAAACTGTGGTCTTTGGAGGCAAAATAAATCAATGAACAAATCTCCATCTTAACTTCAAATTAATTTGTGTTAAGCACGAAGCCTCTTGTCCAGCTAGTGATACAACAGTTGTTTTAATCTGGAAATAATGTTGCTCAAACAATGAGGACTTCACCAAGAGGTTTACATTCTTCTGCTTAAACAAGTTTTTTTGGAGGTTTTGGGATTTTTTTTCTTCTGGTCTCTGATCGGGTAGAAAGTGTGTGCCTGTTTAAAGGTCCTGTCTCCATTTTAGTTTGATTCTGCTAAGTATTTTGGCCTTGTGGAACATAGCTTTCATGTTAAAATCCTCTCACATGTGAGCTCTGATATTTGATGAGCTGAAAAGTTCATGAAAATTACTATATCTTCAGGGGAGGTGTTTCTGACACCAGCTACAATAGGTAGAGAGCTGTGGCCAAGTTTTGATGGGGTTTTATTCCTCAAGACCTGAACACTTACAACTGAGTGGGAATTTCTGTAAAGGGTTCAGTTTCCAGTCATAAGGGGTCAGATTTTCTAATGTATTTCTGTTCTGATCTTTCTGAAAATCTTTGTCCCTAACTCATTTGCACTAAGTAGCCTTCCCCTCCCTGCTCCCTCCCTTCAGAACTGTAATACTTCTCACTTGATAAATGCTGCACACCTTTCCTCCCAGAGAGATATTAATTTATAGCAAATCTGAACTCTGAAAATTGTGTTGGTTGCAGGTAAATATATTTTGACTAATACTGAAATCTTGTCATGCATGATCCTGAAAGTGAGAGAAAAGAGTTAGTATCTCATCTGTTTACTGCTGCGCTGATACAGCTGTTATCCCTGCAATGTATTTTTGTACTGCTTGGTCCAATCTACTTTTAAATGACTGAAGTGGTGAAGTATTTTTTATGTCACTGAAGAAATTGGATAAAGTCCAACAGATTTCACTCTTACAGAAATTTTTCCGAATAGAGTTGTCTTTTGCTAATTTTAGATTTGCTTCCATCAGATGTAGCTCCTTTTTTTTTTCCTAATGCACAGCAACAATTGTGAAAAACTTCTCAACTCATCACTTAGTCAAATCTCTTTCAAGGATAAAATATTGACTGCTGTTAGTGAAACTGTATTAAAATTAGTAGGAAAGGGATCCTGACCTAGGATGCAGTGTTGGAGGTAGGTGGCTGGATGGGTGCCATCCAGAAGTCCTTGTTTCAAGCCCCGACAAACATGCCACAACAGTGACTCTTTATATCCCTGGATTTCATGTCAACAGTGCACAAATTGTTGAGATTATGGGATAAGACTTGTCATCGCCAGCTTCACCACTAGGAGCAACCTGATATAGAGAGAACAAACCCCAAAGAATTCTGTTTGTACAGGTTGTCAAAACTTGTGATGTGGTTTGTCTCCATGAGCATAAACTTGAGTCTAGATGGTGTGAAGGCCTGACACTCTTGCTGCCCTGTTGGATTTTCTTCATTAGCATCACCATATTTTATTCATTGGCCCTGAGGCCGAGACATCATATATTCCCTGTTTGCTTGAGCATTCGCTGCTCCCATGGTGTCAGAGATAAATCACTCAGCTCCTATTTGGTCTCTGAAATAAAAACTATGCATCTCATCTGCCGCTGGGGTTATAATAATATAATTCTATAACATAATATAATTCTATACAGGACATGATACACTCAAACCCAGAGAAAAATCATGCCAAGAGTGATGTGAATAATGGACAGGACCGTTCTAAACTTTTCAGCCAACACTAAAGAGAAAGCTGAGGTTTGAAATATTTGTTTAAAATTTTGTTAACATGGGGTTCTGGAGGTGGGTAACATAAAGGCAGTAAGTGGCTGAGCACAGCCCCACGTCCATAGTGCTGAACTCCCAAATTCTATCCTGATTCAAACTTGGAAAGAGTAGATAAGGCTATTTTCAGTGCTACGATGTTTCGCTAGACCACTTCAACTGAAACTGCAGTGTCACAAAACAACTGCATTTTTTTGATTCCAGAAGCTTCTGACAGTCAGCAAGGATTGTATCCAAACAGTTTCACTCCAAGTGTTAGTACACAGCTTGTTCCAGTAAATGCATTATTACCTATTAAACATTTATACAGTAGCATAAAGTTACATGAGGATTCACAAACATAAATAAGACCCATTTTTTGCACTGTAGAGTCTCCAGTCTAAATCATACTTAGATGATGACATACAGCACAGCTGCTTATAGGAGGAAGGGTGAGAAATGTTTGAAGGAAAGGTGATTTCTGAGAAGATGGTGACTGGAGAAGGGGATTTGCTGGTCTAGGAACTAACAAATCAGAAGGTGAAAATCAGAAAGTAAAAAGAGTGAAAACAGGATTTGAAGCAATATAACAAGTTGAGGAGGTAGTTAATAATGGAAAAGAAGTTGTTAGCTATGAGGTAAGCTTGAAAACAAAACGGCCAGGAATGGATAGGAGAATTCTCTCTTGCCGCTTCTTCACATTCAAGCAAAGTCTTCAGTATCCAGACCTGATTGAAAGCATCTTGCCGATTTTGAGGATGGGACACTTGAGTGGCTTTTTACCAACATTCTCTGTGTACCAGCAGAATGGAATAAAGTCTGTGAAAGTTTCTGTCTTGAAAAGCAGTAAGTATTTATTTGGTCTACCCTCATCAAAATGCAAGTATTCCTTCATTACCTGCTGGTTTTCAGAGCTCTACACTACTTTTGGTTTTCTTCTGTGTTCCACCTGGGAAGCTTATTTTATTGCTTTGGTGCTTCCAGAACTTAATTTCTTTTCTGTAGCTTAATGCTGAATTCTTGAGGCTTCTCACAGTTTTTCCTTTTCTTTTTTTGCAGCAATATCAAGAGTGCTACAGATGTTTTTATCTGTTGCCTGGAATGTGTCCTATACAGAAGCTATAGGAAACACTGCATAATGAGCTTCCAGCCAAATGGAATCTCAGTAAATCTATAAGTCTAGTGGACTATGTAGGAAGAGAGAAATAGTGCTGATGATATCTGGGGCTGGCTCTGAGCAAAGCTGTCTAGGACACAAGATAGCCATAAAATAAAAATTTAAAAGGTCCTCTCTGGTCTGGAAAACAAAAACTGTCAAAGAGAAAGAGTACATGAAACATGAGATAGTTGGTGTTGAGAAAGAAGTGGCATCAGTTGCTACTT